AGCCACAAGGGTGCTAATCAAACAATATTCATTAAGAATAGCAAGAATAAAGTAGGTTAAAGGAAAAGAAAAAGCGTGTAATATGGAACTGCTAAAGCTCATCCAAATGCAGTCCACCTTGATGTGCTGCGATAGATGCCCTCCCTGAAACTAGCTTATAGTAACACTTGGTACAGTTAGAGCACAAAATGCTGAAAAAAACCACTCTCCTAAACGAGGGGGCTGCTTTAGCCCGATTTCCTTCCACTGACTGTCTACTCAGTCAGCTTGCAAGAAGACCAAGTGGAATATCTTGTAACATCCCTGTTTTATGGATGTTAGAAATGGTTCCTTATTCAGTCGCACATCCAGACTGAGGTTACGCCCGCAGTTTTGCAGTAGGATGTCTAGTCGGGAGTATTGTCTGTGGTAACGTGGAATACTCAGTGTCATAGATGTTTTCTTTTGTACCTGCTGAGTTTGCATCGTGTAGCTTTGGAGTAATTTCTTTTTGTGAAACCTAACCTGCCAAACGCCCCTTCGTGAGCTCAGAGCGCCAGGGTGAAGTGACCCCGGGGTGTTTGTCCGCTGTCCCCAGGCAGAGGCTGATTTGCATCCAGACCAGTCTGCCTGCGGACAGGGCTTCTTAGCTGTCTGTCGGTTGTTCGCATTCAATGTGGGACAGATCTGTTACAGAGTTCAACTAGCAGTCTCCTACATATTAGAGTAGAAATTGTTTAAAGGCACTATGTATGCAACTCTCTAATTGGAAAAATTATGCGGGCTGATTTATGAGAATGTTTAAACATAAACCAAGCTTTAACTTAGAACAGATATGATACCTAGGTCTTGTTTAGTTCTGTACTTTGGGTGTACGTTAGTATATTCAAAATAAGTCTGTACTCTGGTCATCTTGATTCCAAAAATCTTGCAACTGTTCTTCATGAAATATCAATCACAAATGGAAAACAATTACTTTAGAGTTGTGTAATGTTCCATAGAGGGTCACAGCTACATCCCTGACTGATCACGACCTCAAGGGCATCAGAATGTGAATGTGTGCTCCTATTTGTACTGAAAAACACAAAGTATTACTACTGGGACTGAATGAAAATCTCATCTATAAGTAACAGTGTTCCTAAACAAAAATCAAACAAAAAGGAGTGGAAATGTCTGTTTCAGTGGAAACCAGCTGATGCATCAAACAAATATTAGTATTTTTCTTCATATGCACATCAAAGCTCAGTGACAGACATCACTCTAATCCTACCTTTGCCTCTGCATGTGTCTTTATTATCCACTGGATTCAGCACCATACACCCACTCCCTAGCATTATACTCCTATCCTATATTTAGTTCTTATCAGTTGATTACTAGCTGTTTCTGATAACAACATACTCCCAGGATTCATCAGATATATTGGAGTTGAGGTTAAGTTTCCTTTCCTTGACCCTGCTGTGCTGCTGAGCATGCACTGAGATACAAAGCCCTTTTCTTTTGCTTCGTTTGATTTTGTAGGACCAAACTCTGACAATTCCTCGGTAATGTGTTAGCAGACAAGCTCAAATATTGTTCTGCATTTTCTTGTTGACTGACGGTTTTACTCAATTCCTCAAATGCTTCCTTCTATCAGTATGAAAGTCTCTCTTCTCATTACCTAGTAATTCAATGTGATCTATTGTCTTTCCCTATTCTCTTTTTAATAATATCATCAAGACAACCCAGAAATCAGCTCATAAAGTATTTGTATACTCCTACTTTGATTATATGAACAACACAACTTTTCATCTAAAAGCAGGAGTTTGTATTTGAATCTGCCAAATAGGAAACCTCTGACATTTTCCTAAAATAAAATGTTCAAATAATTGCTTTTCTTTGATTCATCAGTTAGGATTCTCACTGAGATACACATTATCTGAGATCAAGGCACGTGGTTGCACGCAGACATACAGTACCTCCTTCTCCCCTCTTCATAAAATTGTTACTTTTTCCCCTATGCGGGCACCTATAGAGCAAAGAGAACCTTCATTTTACTTTCTTTAACACAGACTTGTTTAGCTCAAGAATCTGGTGTGAGAAGGGACACTTAACCTGCTGCTACAACTCCCTCCATCACCACGGAACGCGAGACCTGATCCTGGGACAGGTCATTTACCACGTAGCCCCTGTGAGTGGGAAGGGAACACCTATGGCTGACTCAAGCCAAGAGCATTTTCACATTGTGCCTGAGACCGAAGGGGAAGAAAATGAGGACAAACTGTGTGTGTCCAGGTTTGGATATCGCTTGCAAGAACCAAAGTAGTTTTAAATTTTTCAGTTTTGTCATTGTTCGAAATATGAACAAGGAGAGAGAAAGGACATTTTACAAAGGAAGGTTTCCTGTAAGGTTAGACAGAGAAGGCTCCCACCAAAATGCATTCTGGGTCAGGTTCAATATATAACCTAGGTCAGGGAATTAATGTTTACTTTGTCAGATGAAGAACTGTATAGATTTTGTGCTGGCCTTCTGCATAATGTGAATTTCACAGATTCGTGTAGAAGAAACTCCTAAACTTGGGTCAGGCGCTAAACTTGAGATTTTAACTAAGCTTCTAACCAGCCGTGAACAAAAACTTTGAGAATTTTCCTTGCTTAGACTCCTAAAGAAGAAATATATTCTGTGTAATTTTCAGATGGCAATGTTTGTTTTTCAATATAAAAGTACATGCACATACACAGAAGCAAAACTTGGTTTACCTTAGTTTTATGTATTTTTCCGAAGCCGTGATTATCTCCAGTAAATATGACACCCAGCTCCCTTGACTTTGCCCCCGTTAAAGGGAGCAACTGTGTAACTTCCAATACAGTTGCCCAGAGCTACATTTGTTCTGAGATTTGTGCCTGAGACAGCTTTAGCCTGCTTTCCACAATGAATGTTTTGCATATACAGGGGCTGCAGAGACTACCAAGCAATTCTCCTTCTGGCCACTGGGCTGATGTTGTGGAAAATTGATTTCCAGTTGGATTCTCTCTCTTCCTCTGCTCTTGTATTTTGATTTCAGAATATCAGCCCGTGATTGAGGGTGAGCATAAATAGCAGCAAAGGAAGTGAGGCATGGAGGCGAGAGGGCAGGTGGTAGGAGCTGAAATGGAAACAGTGAGGGACAGGCAACCATACACGTACAGTTATACGAACAGATATGTCTGGGTATGGTCCACAGTCTCAGGATCTTGCTACGTAAAACAAGAACAAAATTCAGACTTTAATATTCTCCCCAGTTCTCTCTTCTCATATACCCAAACTGAACCTTTATTATTTTATTTCAATTTGAATAGTAATACAAGTGAAAGCAATCCTGACTTTGCAATATTGATTAGCTTTGTGCTTCGGGTATTCAGCTGAGATGGTATCTCTCACATCTCAAGCAAGTAGGATAGATGCCAAAATACAGATGACTCCAAATATTTAACTGTTCACGTGAAATGGAAGTGCTCCAGCAGAAGACAAAGAAGTAATTAAGAAGGGCAAGGGCTTTGCCTTATTGTCACACATCCTAGCACACTTTACTATTGTGGGCAGCCGTTTTGTTGATGTGAATGCGATTCCGCAGAACACTTTGGTATTCATGAAAGAGTGTTTTTGAAGGAATAAGGTTTTGCGTAATATCTTTTCAGCAGCCTTAGTGAGGAAGATCCTCTGAGGGACAGGTTAAAGGAGCAAATGGAGGGTTAGGAGGATGAACAGAAAAGCGCTGACTACTGAGCATCAAGTAATCAAAACTCGTCAGTGCAAAAGATTTGGTCGGCAGAACTGAAGAAGAAAGGGGATGGAGCACTGATTGTAAGCTTCGGCTAGAAAAGGCAAATATTTTCAGGCATGTGGCAGGTTTGAAGTGTGTTAGAGGGAAGAGAAAAATCCTGGTGGTGTCTGTAAACCGTTCAGTGAAGCTTCACTTCTGCATCTTGTGCACTGGATAAATAGATTCCTTTCCTTCTACTTTACCACAGAGCCAGGTGCTTATATCTCCTGGGAGGAAGATGAGAAGTGCAAATGCCAGCCCGTGCAGCAGAGACGGGCTGACTATAGGTTCCCTAGTAAGAACCGTTTAAGATGGTTTCTGGTTTCATGTGACGATGACATTTATGTAGAGGTATGCTGGCTCAAGGGCACTTTTTTGCTAATTTCCTTTTCAAGCTCTTGCCCACATACGTAATTCCACAGCTGTGAAATTACAAGCAATGCAATGAAAAGATTGCTCAGGTTTTTAAATCATTATTCTTATTTAAATGGTTAGTGGTTTTGTTCCTCTAAATTGTTTTAAAAGTCTGCTTGTTTTCAGTTTTATAAAGTCTTGTTTAAAATCACAGATTTTTTGACCTGTTTAATTGTTTCCATGAATGATCTAGAAAAAAATCTGATCTGCTTAATATTTTTGCATATTACCTACATTTTTAACAGTGTTCTGTACTTAGATGAACTTCACAGGTATGTGTGATAATTGCAGCAAATCAGAAGAGTACCAAAAAAAAATCCAAGCTGAAGAAGTTACCAATTTCATAGGTTTAAAGTGGTATCTTAACTGGCTCTGAACTGCGACTAAGAATCAAAGTGGAGAAAATCACCTAAATTTACCCTCCCCCTTAGTCAGCAGTAAGCTTCATAGGACCCTCCCCAAACCAAATAAGGCCAGGAAGAATGTGCTAACCACTGAGTGTGCTAAGAATAAAATTGAGCTGGGATGGATAAGGTTACTTTGAACTCTATATTTCATGTTTCCTGACATACCCCCTAAAGAACTGCAATTATGCCAGCGAGGCTGCAGGAGCATTAAACAGTTCTTTCCCAGTTCTTTTGGTTTTTGCTGCCTTTCCATGCGTTCCTGTCCGGTTTAGAGCTTGGCATTTTACTTTTTATTTGTAGTGTGTGTGGTTCTTAGGACGCTAGAAGAAATATGCTGAAGAGTCACTGTGAGGCATGGCTATTTTTGTTAGAAGTTGATACTTTAGACTGAGTTTTACGTGTTGCCTCTGGAAGGCCTTAGGTTGCTCTGGGAGGGCAGGAGTCTGCAGAGGAAACAGAAAGTTCAGAGGGGTGCAGAAGAAGAAGGAACAGAATTAGAAAAGCAGAGGACCTCCCTCCTCCTCATTCTGCAGCTCCTGCAAGAGCCAGCAACCCAGAAGTATTATCTGAGCTGCCACAGTAGATCTTGACCTTTTTAACAGAGTATCTCTTACCATCATCATCATGGCCGAGATTACAGCAGAAGGTACGGTAACTATTTTCAAATATAATTAACCAAAAATGATATGTACTTTGACAGTGTAATTGAGCTAGCGTGTCAATATGATTTGTTGCTCTTAGCAAATAGTGCTTTCAGTCCAGGATCATTTAATTTTCTTTGTTGGATTGCTTTCTACCTTTCTTTCCTCTTTTTCCTTTTTTCTTTTTCATTCCTGTAGCCTGAGTCTCTACCAGTTACTGAAGCTAGATCTCCGTACACCTCTAAAAATAGCGTTAGTCTCATTTGCAGAACAGCAGCGCTTAGGCAGCTCCATTAGAGTGATACAAGAAGGGGAATGTCTGGCTGTCAGGTGGTTCCACCCTCAAGCCTTTGCTCAGGTAAAGCTTTGGTAGTCCCTTATAATCAGAGCTTTGCCAGAGTCGGAATAGCTTAGTTTGGTGGCGCTGATTTTTCCATAAGGAGCCCAGATTATTTGTGAACCGCACATGAAGTTACTGAAGGGTAAAAGCTATCAACCCTGCAATCTTTATTCAGGTGAACTTCTGAAGAAGTCAGTGAGAGTTGTGCTGAAATAAGTACGCCAGAGCTAGGCTTGCAAGAAGGAAAGGCAATTGTATTAACCAGTAAATACATATTCTAAAATATGAATATTTCATGTCCTTTAATATTTCCTGACCATTCATATTTAAATAACATTTTAGATGCATAACAATATTTTATCAACCTCAGTCAGACAGGGAATATATTTAAAATGCAACCTTCTTTAAATTTAATACTGAATATTTTAGTTGAATTTCATTCCAACCCTTTTTTCCAGTGTGGATTACTCCACTGTTTATCTGAATTTAATAATGACACCACAAAAAAACCCCAACTTTTAAACAGTCTTCTGAAAGTTATTTTTATTCAACTTGCCAAGGTTATGTGGCATTTCAGTGTCTGAAAGTTGTACTTTTCATCTTCCATTTTTCATTGTTAATATTTGTAACAGGATCTGCATTAAGCACTATTAGAGAGTGAGCTCACTGTCTTCTAAAGGATTGATGTTAGGACTATGTCAAATTGTACAATCCTTGCCTGCCATCTGGTTAGCCACAGCAAGGAGACAATGTGCGTATGACTTTTTTAATCAGCATTGGACAGATCTATAATTTGCTTCTGGCAGCAAACACTGCCAAAACAGGTAGCTCAGCCTGACAGCCCTAACCTAAATGCTAGTACTAGTTTATTTGGATATTCTTAACCTGGTTTGTTGGAAACATTGGTTATTTTGTAGCTGCTATCAGGGAAATCTGTGAAATTGTATTTGTCTTCCAAAATGCATGTATTAATACCATCAGTGTCAGAGAAGCAGTATGGAAGTACCTCTTGCAAGGTTCTCCAAGTGAAAAAAAACCCCCAGAATTAGCAGGAATTTTAGTCCAAAATTAATAGCATAAATAGAAAGCTTTTCAATTAGTCTGGAAGTGATTTCTCAGTCATTTAGCTTACTAAAGAAAGAAAACAAAAGAACCTAAAATAAAATAAAAATAAAACAAAGAGTCTGAAAATGTTTTTATAGTGCTTTCATAATGTTTTTACAGGTATCCCTTAGCTGTAATATTGTGTGTCTGTCTTCTGTGTTTTTTCTGAGCAAAGCAATAGACTTCAGGTGATAAGGGGCGTCAGCTCCGCAGTAAGCTGACCTTCAGCGTGACAGGTAAATAAGCTATACAACTTGTTTAGTTTAGTGTAGGTTAGTTTTTGTTTTCTTTTATTTGGAATGGACTATTGTTGATTGGCTGATTTTTAAACTCTGGATCCACGAGATAGAAATTTTACTTATGGCAGAAACTAAGAATTCAGCCTGGGGCTAATGTTTCACTGCAGTTTATTCTTCTCTGAGGCTACTGCTGGCACTCACAAGGCAGTTTGAAAGTTCAGCTCTAAACTTCAGCAACATATAGTCTGGCCAAATAAAAATCAATTAAATTACCTCTTTCTTCACAAAATTCCTGTTTGATTTTATTTTGTTGCATGCTACAACCCAGCCCATGACTTGCTGGGGTCTTCTTTATTAGGATTAAAGTACTTGCTCCTCGTGGTAGGTATTCTTAACTCTATTTTACGCTATCGGCCACACATCAGCTAGGCTGTGGGGCTCCTTGTCTTTCTGGGTACCATGCCGGCACGTCAGAGAGCGCGGCACAAAAGCGATGTGGGCTTCAACACCGCCACGGCCAGTGGGGCTGCCGGTTTAGAGAGATGGTCCCGCCCTGGCAGAGGGATGCTGCTGGTGCCCAGCTCAAGGTATCTTTTTCTGACAGCCCGCGTCAATACCGTGATCTATTCAGAGACAGATGCACAGGGCCGATGGGGTGCTCTTCCAGGTCGACATCACGGTAATGACAATGAGACTAAGTGGCTTAAAAGTGTTGCCACCGAGCAATGACCCTGGCCCGTCTACTTGCGTTGCAAGCCCCGTGTGCTGCCTATTCATTTCCACAGCTACAAATTGTTAGCTGTGGAAATACTGGTGAAGTGTACCCGGTGAAAGACAAAAGGCGATCTCTCAAGATAGCAATTTATAAACGTCCTTAGAAAGTTGGCAGGGCCTAGGTCTCCTGCTGGCAAATATTTAGGAGAAGATTCCAAAGGATTATCTTCAGCATCCTCGTATTACATGTAATTGCAACCACAGAAATGTACTATGAAAATGTGGAAGTCCTTAAAACTATATAAAAAAAATCTCAGTACAGATATTAAGTACTCTGCAACACTCTCAGGATATTATTATTATTATTATTATTATTATTATTATTATTATTATTTTGCAGTTGTTATTGTTACATTTCAGCTGTTACTGAGCATTCTGTAATGGCCAGGGTCTTTACTGTGATCCACTTCAGAGCTTGCCTAGAAAGCCGCGGGTGTCTAACTACACCGCTCTGCTGTGTTTATGGACACGGGGACTGGACGGGACCCAGTGGCAGATGCAGTTATTGCTGCCACCGCTGAAATGCGAATACAAAAAGCCCGGCACCTCTGAGAAACGGCTTCTACCAATGTACAGCTTAATCTATACGTGCACAATAGCTCCGGCAGCAGCCCTGTAGTTGGTCCTGTCTAGTCCGACCTCCTGCAGGTCACACAGAGTGCCAGGTCGCTGCTGTCCCCTGGCGCTTTATTCTCCCACGCAGGGACAAGTGGACAGAGACTCGGCTCTGCCTGCTGCAACCCACCCGAGACTGTGCGCCCATCTCATCCGGGGAGGTGAGGAGAGGAGAAAGACAAGGTTTCTATGCCAGCTGTTTGTCTGCCACAACTTATTTCCCCAGCGGAGCAAGAAAGAAGCAGGAGTCGAACAGAAATGTGACAATGAGTCACAGTTTGGTCCCTATTTTGCTGCTGAGAGCTGTGCAGCTACACATTTCGTCTGTCTCGGGGCAGGCTGCAAGGAGACGGGCTAGCCCTGAGGCTACACACAGCTTGTCAGCGACAAAATCAAAATTAGCTTCTGGATTTCAGACCTTTTCTCAGGCTGTTTGATAACTACGAAAAGTTCTGAGATGTAAACCATTTCAAAAGGCGGATCTTGTTAAGATCTGTATGCTTGAAGATTAATATACGTGAAACTGATAATATATGAGAAATAACACACGAGAGCCAGAGGGTAAAATCAGGACGGCTTCACAAGTGTGATAGCCAGAAGCTAACAGCGGTCTCCAGTTGGCAAAAAGTTTAGCGAAGTCACACGACAGGCAAGAGGGAGATAGCTACTTCTCATGGTAATTCATGAGTTGCTGCTAGAGGTGCGAGTTGTGCCGACTGCAAAAGGGGTCTAGATGAATAAATTAGATTAGATGATCCATTTTGATGGCTAAAGGCATGTGAGGTGTTTCCTAGCCTTCAGTTAGACTGCTGTTTAAGCATCGAGTTAGGAGGTTTCTATAGAATTTATTTGCAATAAGCAAATTCGCAAAATGAAAAGATGTTTTCTTTTTCTGGCTTTCAACGTTGATGCAGATGCAGAGAGTATACCTTTTGCAGTGGGGTAATGAAAATACAACAATTTTGGCAATGATTTTTTTTAAGGAATCAGTCTGCTTTTTTTCAGAAGTACCAGGTTAAGTTAACAGCCTAATTACCCAGAGGGACAAAAAGTCAAAATCCCTAGGACTGCCTGTAAAAAAGTAAGTCTTTGGGGCTCCAAATTCTCACTGAAATTCCTTAAAACTTGGATTCCCCCGTGCCTGTGGGCCTGGACAACTGAGCAGGTTAATCTGGCTGCAGCCTGGGTGCTTTCTTGTAGCCTATTGAGGCAAGCAAGCGTAAAGCCAAATTTGTCAGCTGAAGTTTTAGGATTAAGAGTTTGGGGGCAATGTTACTCACAGCTGGTGCGGTGTCTATGCATGTTCAGTTGGTTCAGAAGCTCTAACATGTTGTTATCTTAGGTAGCCCCTTAGAAAGTCAGCTAGCAATGGACAGCAGGAAATCTTAAAACCTAAGAACCAGAGGTTCGAGCTAATGCATCCTTTTGCTAGTCCATGATGGGCTAAAAGCGTGTGCGTGCAGTTACCTCGTGTTTACTTGTGTGCAAACAGCTGGACTGTACATCTGATCATTTATTCACTTTTTTTTAAAAGAACCTTGTGCTCATAAGTATTTGGAACATATTTTAAGGTTGCTTATATAATGAGAAATATGTTTAAAAGCCTAGTAGTGTTTTCAAGTTATTGGGGTGATCAGTTCCCACTGATTTAAAAACAAAATCTGTGCAACTACTTAGCTTCTCAAAAGTCCCAGTCTACACTTTCAGGTACCTAATTCTTGTAAAAAAAATCAGGTCTATAAATATTTTGAGTACTTTTACCCATTGCCTACCATGTAAACCGTGAGTAAGAGGTGGATTCATGCTGCTTTTACTGCTCTGCTCTGGAAAGTAAAAACTGGTTCAGTTTAAAACACGTTTCATAATACAGGTTTGGCTGCAGTCCAGGATACACTGAGGACAGAGAAGCCAGAGATGCCCTCTTTGAGGCAGG